TGTGAGAAATAGTGTATCAGAGCAATTCTGATTTTGGACAAAAAAATCATTCAGCTGGGATGAAATACACAAATGTGTCATATATCTCATCCTTTTGCTAAAAGGAGGAGCTCTGGTTCTTAAATCACCTCAGGAAAATGGGTTGTCTGGTAATTAAGAGTAGTTTCCAAGCTTTCAAAAAGTGCTGTAATTACTCCCAAAGATACATTCTCAGCAAGGCTATATAGTTAACTGAGAAGAGGAAATTACAGGATTTAAGAAGTAATCTGCAGTTGAATGGAGTTGTTTGTGTGTAACCGTAGATCTGTGGTAATGACACAGGGGTGCGCCTTCCTTTACTCTTCCACAAGCCTTCATTTTTATTGCACATTAGGAATATTTATAAGCTTTAAAAAAACTGATCAAGTTGCTAGTCTTAAGCAGTGACCTGCTGTCCCATGCAGTCTGTGAACATACACTTCTGGCTGCCGCAGGAACCGTCTCAGCTATTGGGGCAGAAAGCAGGAGTCCCTCTGGTCCTGCTTGTTAGTGGGTTCAGAGGTGGAACCAACTCCAGACTGTTCTTTGAAAACTTAACTTTTTAATAATTCAAAATATAAACCTGAGGAATAGTTTCTATCAGGAGGGTTTAGCTTTTCTGGCAGGTTGAAAAGGTCCTTGCTCAATTCTGGAACTGATTTCATGAAGAATGAGAAACCAACAGAAGCAGAAGAGACAATATCCACATGCCTGCGTCCTATCTGACAATACAATTGTATGAACCCAGTTGGCAACCAGGTTTCTAGTGCCAGAAGAACAAAGGTTTTTCTGTATTTGCACTAAAACCAAAGATACTGCTTCTGATGAGAAAGAGGACATGGTGACACAGAAATGGTTCTTTTCCTGACGTTCTTGCCTGATGCCTCCCATGGTGCCATGGCTGGTTGTGGAAGTAGGTCAAAGCAAACATTGAACATGCTCTTCCCTAGACTGAAAGAGTTCTCTCTATTACTTGTTTCTGAAGATTACTATTTATTGTAGTAGGGACAACCAAGACTATGTTCCTCTTGGCCAAGAACTGCTAAGCTTTAAACAAACACTCCCATACTGCACGGAGACGTTGTGGAGAGGCACCATGTTCTACACCAGTGTATTTCTCATATCATTGTTTTCTTTTTTTCTGCATCAGATTACAGATTTGCTATCATTTGCCAACATGGCAGATTACAGTCAATGTTCTGAATGTTAAGAGAAGGCCTGTAATGGAATAAAATTATTTCTTAAGTTCCTTGAACTGTCCATAGGTTATAATGCCAGGGTGAAGGGAAAGGGATTTCCTCTCTGCATTGACTTAGAAAAAATTCTTTGGTAGGGCCCACTGTGTCTAACTGAAGCACATAACCACAAAACAAACTGTAGACAGCTAATGAAGCACTGCTTCCAAGGTAACTGCCTATCACGAGAGAGATTCTGTCCCCCAAAATTGTCTAAAGTTAGACTGTTCCTCCAGAGATCATAGAAGATACCTTGCTTTCTCAGACAATTGCAGAACACAGGCAGTGACTTGCAGAGGATGTGAATCCCACCCTGGATGTCCTAAAGGTATCTAGAGTCTTTCTTGTTGTAGAAATGTGCTTCCAGGTATTGTGTTCCTCTTTTGGTTCACGTACCAATGTCTAGTTTGGAGAAATGCTGCTCAGTCCATCACCACCACATACCCACCTCCTTGGAAAGATGTTATCTTTTTGGTTTTCTTCTAGATGGAGGGCTTTCATCCAATACTACTTAGAGGAGGATCATAAATTACCCATCTAGAACTGAAGAACTTTTTTACTGTTATTAGAAATCAATTTGTTTGAAGATTTTTGACAGCATATTTTTTATGTGAAAGCACAGATTTGTCATAACTGGAAGTTTTGATGAAACTTTCATTCAAAAGGCTTCTCTGGGACAGGATGAAAGTGGGAAGGAGGGCTGAGCCAGTTGACATGCCCCTCATGAAAATACTCATTCACCCAATTGCTAGGTCAGTGTCATAAAATAGGCTTTTTAGTTGTTCTGAAGAGGTGCTTGCTGCAGGCTTTTATATCTAAAAGGCCTTGGCATATCAAAACATGTAGTCTGGTTTGCCAGTCAACCTTCGCTGTAGGTCTTGGCTTCCCCACTTCTCAGTTTTCGTAGTCTACTCTCAACTCTGAAAAGTAGAGGAATTCAGAGTGAGGTTAGGAAAAGCATTTCTTGTCATAAATTAAATGTTCAAACACTCATGAAAGAAAGTTCATGCTTTCTGAGCCTATGTACGGGTATATTCCATGGACTGTCTCCTTTAAGGACATTGGGTACAAATGTCTCTTTTTACAAACTGACCCAGCCTTTGAGTGTATGTGCACATATGTGTCCTTGGAAAATCAGTCCCTTTGTTAGCAGAGATTAGAGGAGGAGGAAAGGTTGGTTTATATTCCAGAGATATTATGGTCAGCTCTGGGAAAGACTCTGTATAGAATATGAACGGCAAGGAAAGTGTTTATGAGAGATACTGAGCTGCTTCATGCCTTCTTGAGTCATCAAACAGAACAGCTGGTATTTCTTGCATGATGAGATTTTTGTTGAATGGACTGACAGGATTTCTCTGCAGGGTAGAAAAGCTTCTTTTTCTTTTTATTCAATATGTGTTCTGAAAGGTAGGCAAACCTACTGAAGTATGTTTTGCTTGAGATTTTATCAGCCTTATTTACTAACCCCTGAAATCTAGGTAAAATTTCATGGATGGTGAAGCAGGAAGGTGTAAAGTTCAGACTGAACAGCAATGAATAACTTCGATAAATAGTTTGATCTGGAGAAAAAAAGGGTGGTTCAAGAAACAATTCCTCCTTCTTCTTCCTCAGAATAAACGTAAATGAAATCCAGGGATAGCAGAGGTCAAAATTTGATGGATGACCAAGTTTCTGCCTTGTATGATCTCACCAGACAATACATTTCACGCTCTATAACTTACACCAGCTTCTAAAATATTTTAAAAATATTTTATGTACCGTAAAGGAATGAGGAGACAGATGTTAATGTTTTCCGCTAGAAAATTATTTGAATATTTGGACTGGTCAAGCATGAAGAATAGTTTAAGTGAGAGGGAAGTCTAATCTTAGCTGCTGACTCTAAGAACTAGAAAGTTATTTCTTATCTATTTACTTCCTTCATTTGTAAGGATAACGATGGAGGTATAACCCCATTCAGTTCTCCCTGAGACGGATACTGTTAAACAGTCCAGCAGAATCTCTCCTTACCTTTGCTTTCTGTCATAACCTTTTTCACATGGACCTGTGTGTCTTACCAGCTTCCAGGAGGCTCTCCAAGGAGTGCAATGGGAACTGCCCAAGCAGAGCTGATCAGCTCAACATATCTTCCTAGACCTCTGTTGAAACTAGGTATCCCAAAGCTGACAACAGTGCAAACTGAAGTGGAAGCTAATATTGATGCTATCAAAAAGTAGCTTTATCTAGTCTGGAGATGTGTTGTCCTCTGCAGATTTAAACATAGAACGTTTATGGATAAAAGGAGAATTTTTTTCATGAGACCATTCTGTTAGAGAAAAAGCACCAGTCATCTCTTTAGAATGAAGGATTAGAAGTCTACATAAAATGTGAGATGTCACGTTAGAGAGTATCAGGAAGCAAAGATGGGGAAAAGTTAATTATTTTCAACCTTTTAAGAATCTCATGTTTCCTATTTTATTTTGTATTAAGCAAATACGATCATTTCTGTATCAAAGATGAGAACTCCAGCCAATATAAAGTTCTATGTAAGGAACTCAAATGATAAGTTTACAAGATTACTGAGAATACTTGGGGCAGAAGGGCAAGTCCTCCCTTTTTTTTTATTGCCAGAAAGCACATGCTCTTGTCATACGCTGAACAATACCTTTCTGCAGGCAATCAGTCATGAGATACAGGACAAAATAAGCTGCTCAGGAAAGACAGATTGGTAGTCTATTTACAGTTACTGAGGCTGCACACCACTGTTATCTGGAGAAGAAGCTTAGGGTTCTCCTGAAGAAGTAGACATTCAAGACTTTGCACAGCTTGCCCACCCAGACATGAGGTGTTTCCAACTCCTATGAAGAAAGGGACATTTTGTGTGGATTTGATAGGCTGAAAATAAAGGCAAGGAGGTTTCGTAGATCTTTTCTCTGAGTATCTGCATTTGATTTTACCCTAGTCCTCCAATTTGGCAAACCGAAAGGAAACAACAGCAACCCACTACTGAAGAACCTAGTGTACTAAGCATTAACACTTCCTCCCCACCCACATAGTACAAATTCCGTATCTTACACTCATAGCTAAAGTCTCCAGGCAATATAATCCTTTTCTTTTAACCCTTTCCCCAGCTGGTACATGCGAAGTCTGTTACTACAGAGTGCAAAAATAAAGAATTGGAGGTACCATGAGAAAATACCTGGTCCAGTTGCTGTGCTTTCTGCAATGATCAGTAGACCTGGATCTTCTTTGAAAACGGTCATCTAAACTTTCCTTGAAAATTCAGCTGTACTCTACAACTTCTGCAGAAAGCCTGTTTCAGTGCTCACCTATACTTGCAGTTGGAAAATTGAACTTAATGTTGAAACTAAATCTCGCCTGAATCAGTCCAGTGACTTCTTGGCATATCATTGGTGTCTTTATATGTCTTTTTACATACTGACATATTGTTTCTTCTCCCTAAATCTTCTCTTTCCTGTATTTTATAAATCTAGTCTATTCAAGGTTTCTTTGAGTCTGTATTTTCCAAATGAAGGGGTAAGATCTTAGAATTACGTGCCAAGGGGTACCCCATCAGGGTAGATGGGATCTGAATACTTGTTACTTCCTCTGGGTTCATTTTTGACCCATTACTCTGAAATAACCCTAATAATCACAGGTTTTCTATAGCAGAATTGGAAGCATGGATTAACGCTTGTATTACTGAAAGGAAATTATGTACTTGCTACAAGTAAAATCTGTTAGCAGTTTGTTGTCTATTTCCATACTCACAGCTCTTTGTGTGGGACACTGAATAGGACAGTGTAGTGCCAATAAACAAGAACACTTCCCAGTGAATCACTCTTTTATGCATGCTTATTTTGCTGTCTTTTCTTCACTTCTCAAATGTTGATTTTTCAAACGTTTCCCCAAAATATCACTTAGAACAGTAGTTTAAAAATCAGAGAAAAGGCATGAAATGTAATTTTCTACCTTGAGGTTTCCTAGGATTATTCAGGATAGAAAGCTTCTGATTAAATATTACTGTTACTGTGTTGTGGTTTTGTGTTGCCAGTGCAGTTCTTGAAAAGGGAATTTTTCTTTGTCCACCAGACTTCTTTGCACTAAGGTCAAAGTGGGATAGATGTAGAAACCTTATCACTATAATCAGCAAATAAGTACAGTAGCTATTGTCATTGACCATTCTACAGTATATGCTGTCCATAGCTCGGAGATTTTAAGCCTCCATGACCATCATTTTATCTTACGTGACTCTGATGCCGTACCATTTTGTACAATTTTACTTAAGACATTAGATTTTAGGTACCAGATTTTTTTTTTTTCTTTATATCTTCAATTGCAGTCTTAGGATTTATTTTAGATAAACATGATTGCCTATCTGTGATAAGGTTTTCTCATAACCATAGACAATTTTATTTATATAGGATGTTCTGCTACTTAATTTTTCAGGGCTCTTTCTCAGGATGATCAAGATGATACCCATTTAAAAATAGAGGATATCATTCAGATGGTAAGTTCATCTTGAAATTTAGACATAAATACTCCTATAGAAATGTTGTGGTTTTAAGTCAATAAAATGTAGCACAACTGCAAATTTACAACTCTGAACAGAAATACTGTTCTTTTATATCAGGAAAGTACATTTTAGTTTAGAGAAAGGAAGAATTTGGAGCCCATATCAAAGATGAACAGATCAAAACTTTAGGATTTGGATTTAAATCACATAATGAAAAAAAAAAAAAGGAAAGATATTAATATATGAAATTATAAATGTCTGCCATCTTAGCTGCCGTCAGAACTGTAGCTGGCCTTGACTGACAATGCCCATCCTCCAAACTGTAGTCACCACCATCTCGTAAGTGCATTGCATTAATCCGAAGACGAGTGTGGGCAATGAACCAGGTGCAGAGTGGTTATGTGGAAAATAACACAGAATACACAGACTTTAACTGACCTACGTACTTACTCATGACTTGGTATGTGCCTGTTTTCCTATGAGTTTCCAGCCTGATGTTTACCCTTATGTTGATAGCAATTTTTCTTAATCCCTATTTCTTTGGAGCAAAGAAGTTAATTACAACTCTGTGTTGAAAGTGCATATGAAGTTCTTAATACCCTGTGCTTTGAAATGTCCTTTGATGCAAAAAGGGATGATTAAGCGTTCTCCTTATTTTTGCAGTCAGATTGTCCAAAACCAGAGTGCTTTGAGACTTTGTCGGCTATGGAGCTTGCAGAGCAAATAACTCTTTTAGATCACGTAGTTTTCCGAAGCATACCATATGAGTAAGTGTTCTCCTACGAGTGACTGAAGTGAGTACGGTGGATGAGTTACCTACTGGCAGTGTTAGGCACTGCACTAATTCATGCTACTGACAAAAAGGTTTGCATACATAACAGGATAACGTCCTTCAGCTGTTTCTATCATTGCCTCTGACTCCCCTATAGTTTGGTCATGTTTTGAAAGACTGAGTTCTTTGCTAAGAAAAAAAAACTGTGGTCTAAGGCTCTGGGCTAGTGAAGGGTGAATGTAGTATGGAAGTGCTGAGTCTCTAGGGAGGGAGTGTGAAAACAGCTTCATTCATATAGCAGTGTAACATGGATATAACCATGTAAACTGACAAGACCAATTTCAAATAGGGTCACAATGCTGAAAATCAGGATGGTGGGGCTGGGGGAGGGGATTAGAAGAAAAATAAATCTGTTTTATAACATTTACTGCTTCAGACAGCATTAAAAATGGTATAGTGAAATGCTGGAATTAGTGTAAAGCTGTGTTATTACCTTCTAACAAAATGAGGTATACTTGGAGTCTGCTTAGGCTATGGTTACAGACAGAGACTGTGTACTGTATATATTAAGGGCATTTTTGTTTGGTTTTTTTTCTCTCTCCTCAATGTCTAGAGAGTTTCTTGGGCAGGGCTGGATGAAAGTGGATAAAAATGAGAGAACACCCTATATTATGAAAACTAGTCAACATTTTAATGATGTAAGTACTCTTAAATATAGATTACTTTCTAGGAACTCTATTGACACTGTCTGTGACCTCTGGAACAAAAATATCTTTTTTTTGCAATGTGATGTAACTTCTTATCTAGTATTAACTGAATGTTATAGTCTTCTTGTGATTAACCTTTTAAATCAAAGCACATGAAGATTCTCGTTTTCAAGAATTGGTACTCAGCATTTCAATGGCAATTTAATGGGGTAGAACATTTCAAACTGTACTACAATGCCTTGTTGCTTACAGAAGAAACTAAATTTTCTCTAGAGAGCGAAAATATAACACCAGTTCTATTTGATGAATGCCCTCTGTATCCCCAACTATATCTTTGCTGTTTACCGTTTTCCTTGAATTTTACTTCCCAGTCAGTTTTATTACTGTTGGCTTGGAGATACTTCCCATTGCATCTCTTACCCGTCTTTCATACTGTCATTCCCCCCCACTTCCCTATAACACTGTTGTAAATACACTTTCTCTGGTTTTATTAAGAGCCATGAGTTCTGTTGTGCATTAGTTTTTTCTGCCTTGTTCATTAAATAATTATATGTTGAAAGGGATTATATTTAAATGTCCTAAATTTCTTCCTCTTTGTTTGGTCAGATGAGTAACCTTGTTGCCTCCCAAATCATGAATTATGCTGATGTCAGCTCGCGGGCTAACTCAATTGAAAAGTGGGTAGCAGTAGCTGATATCTGTCGATGTATGCACAATTATAATGGTGTGTTAGAAATCACGTCGGCCTTGAACAGAAGTGCAATCTACAGACTTAAGAAAACTTGGGGTAAAGTATCCAAACAGGTGAGAAAGATATGATTACTGTGTGGTTTCTAGATTTCACTGGTCAGTGTGTTCAGAAAACAACATGTTGAGATAGGATTCCTCCCATAAATATTTCTACTTTTACAATACTCTGACTATTTGCTGGAAACACCAAGTGGTACTGGTATTTCATGTCAAAGTATTTTGTATTTAGCTTACCCTTTTTTTGGTATCATTAATTAAATATCTGTAGGAACAAACTGATTTAAATGGAATTAGCAGGTGCCTAAGCCTACGACTTGAGCCAGAAGTACTGAAATATTTGAGAAAACTAAATTTAGATATTTTCAGATTTACACATCTAGGTGGTTACTAGCTATAACTATAGTCAGCTCAGGTGCCTAAAACAGGAGCTGTATTTCCCGGTGCAGAAAGTCAGTAGAAAGGTCAGCGTTTCCTCTCAAGGTGCTGAGGTTTTGCTACTCAGTAAGAGACTGTAGACAATCAGACCTCTTTCTCATTTAGGTGTCTAAGTTTAAATGCAGCGAATATCTCCCTTTAACCCATACCTTGCTGCTGAGACTGTCAGCAGCATGGCTGAGCCTGTGAGAGTGCCAATAACAAAAATAAGACGCAAAACCCAAGATTAGCCAGGATGAAGAGTATCCAATCTTTTATAGGGAGTTGGACTTGATGATCCTTGTGGGTCCCTTCCAACTCGAGATATTCTATGATTCTGTGATTTTATGTTCTCTGTTTTAAATAGTTTGGAGATATTGGTTGAATGATTTAAATCTCAGCTTTCTGCTATTTGAAAAAAAAAAGTGAATATTTTAGTATGGTGGAATAACAGAGCAAGGACGTCAGTAGGACAGAGCCAATCACTTGTAAGTTAGGCAGCAGTTGGATACAGGGTTTACTTCTGCTAATTGGAAGATTTCAGATTGCCCATTTTAGGTCTGGCTAATTGACATGCAAAAGGTGGGCTTTTATCATTGCATTTCCTCCTCCGTATGTTTCTGCAGCTTTTGCAAAGCACTCAAGCATCCAAAGCAATGAAATTCACTTAGAATACATTCTGACTGCACTGCCTTTTTTCTCCGGTCAGCTTTTTCTCAGATGCTTTATAGCTGGTGCTATGTTCTTTTATTTAAAAATATGCAAAAAATCTTTTCAGTACAAACTGTTATATAAGAGTTTACCTCCAAAAGTTTTATGTTTAGAATTTGTTTGATTTTTAAACTTCCAATTAAAAAAAAAAACACAACAGATCAATGTTGTTGCACAGTTCTCCAGTACTTACTGGAAACGTAGTCTGAGTGTTTCATCAGCCTGCTATTTAGAAGAAAAAGAAAGTGTCTGCTTCTGCCTACAGCTTTCTCTTAATTGGAAATTCAGTTTCAAATATGACAAATTTCTCATGATTCTCTATATTGTCTCAAGTCTATAGCATAAATAGACTGAAAAGCAAATTTATTTTCCTTACAAAGTAACCAGGCTCTGATGATGCCCACTGAAAGTAATTTGTGTAAGACAGTAATGTATTTTCAAATACATATTCAGCTTTTATCAGAAACTTGGAGGCAAAACCGGCTTAGTGCAAGCTGCAAGACAGTAAACATCCTTTACTATCACTAATTTCAGTAGACACAGCTGAGGATCCTCAGCAACATGTAAGATCAAGTCTCTAATATTCTTGTATACACAGTAAACTGAATTGCTGACCATTAATTTAATGAACTTGTGTTTTTTCCTGAATTTGCAGGCTAATAATATTAGCATAGATACAGGTTCTATGTATTACTCGAAGGAAAATCTTTCATGGTGCCTAATCTCCATTTTCAGAAATACGCTAGGAACTACAATGAAGCTAAATTCCTAATGCCTATGTTATTACTTTTCAAAATGGGTGAAGATGCTAAGTGAATTACACCTTTTCTAAAATCTAATCCCAGTCATTTATGTGCAACAGCAATGACATTTGTAATGCATTTTCTTTCTAGACAAAAGCTCTCATGGACAAGCTTCAGAAGACTGTATCGTCTGAAGGAAGATTTAAAAATCTTAGAGAAACGCTCAATCCCTACACCATACAATTATGTTTTGTTATAAGCAGTGGATAGTAGATGTTAAAGATGAATTGGCTTTGATTAAGCCTTAATAATTAATATAATATTGGATAATATTTTTACCTAATAACCTTTTAAATTCTAGTTTTATTCTATTTGGCATTATTGTTTTGCTGAATATCCCATGATTTAGTACCCCAATAGATAAATATAATATCTCCAGAGAATTACTGAAATAAATTAAACTATTATTTTGTGTGGATGTTCCCTATTGCGGTTTTACTTACACTGATAAACTTTTTCAATAAGTGTGAAGCCAGGTTTATAAATAAAAGTTCTTATTCAAAAACAGGATTCCAAAGAGTCCTTGTTCCAGATAAGAAGTTTAGGACTTAAGAATAAGCTTGAGTCAGATCAAAGATCCATTCACCCCTTTATCTTGTTTCTGACAGTGGCCAGTAGCTGATGAGAGGAACGTAGGAACAGGTCAAATGCACAGTGGTATTTGCTCTCCTATACCGTCCCAGCCCCCTGTAGTCTGCCACCCTGGAAAACAGCCTGGTTTTTTGTATAGTACTCCTTGAAAATTTTTTCTTTAATTGATTTGCCAGATTGTGTTTGACCGTATGTAATTTTGGTATCCAAAATATCCTGTGGCAAGGATTCTACAATTTATGTATTGACCCAACTGTATGCATACAACACCTGTGTTTTTGCAAGTTCTGTAATTAGAAGTAGGCTTTCTGGGATGGAGTGGTACAACTCCTTTAAATGATCTTGAGAGAAGCAAGAGTAATTGCTGAAATGTTTCAAAATATACATAGTTCAAGTTAATCAATTTTTACTTTAGAAGCATTGTTGGGGAGCTAATCACTTTTTTAAAAATGTTTTTACTCACAATATGTGAACAGGTACTTCTCTACACCTTTCAGTTAATACATTGCTTGCCTGTGTACAACAATCACCCGCATAAAAAATACCCAGAATGAAGTGCACTGCTAAGCATAGTCAGCAGTCTGCCTAAGTTAACAGTACAGCCATCACCCTGCATTTTTCTTATGCCAGAGCTTCAGAAAACCAAAAGTTCTCTACTGTTTCTGCTGAGGCAAGAATCAGTGAGTGTGGAGCAGTGATTATTGCATCAGGGAAGCAACAATCATTATCCCATTCCTTCTGTCCCTCCAAGAAAAGAAAATACCTATTCTCTAGAGTCTGTATTCGCAGTTTTCCAGATCATCTTTGCTACCTCTCTGTCATCCTCTTTCTTCTTTGTGTTCACTGTTGAGAAGACCTGAATAGACTTTGACAGAATGGTATATATGTACATTCAAACACACACACATACATATGTATATACATGCATATATACATATATATGTGTTTGTATGTATAAGTATGTATCTATATATGCATGTATATACATATATATGTATATATCTCCACATGCACACACACGCTCTCACACACATGCATGCATACATGTACCCTTGCTACACTAGGATGCTTACACGACTGCAGAACACCAACCATGCGGAAGCACGTCTACATGCATTTTTAGCTTGTGTGTAGGATCTATTTCAGGGATTGGCTGTCAGCCAATATGCCAGAAATATGCTTGAAGGTGTTCTTTGAGTCCAGAGTTTACCTATCCTTGCTCTCACTCCATTACGTTACCATTCTACCTTCTGCTAAAGGTTATCTGCCATTAATATTAGATATTGGACAGAATACATTCAATTTGTCACGGGCAGAGCAAATACAACTCAAATGAAGTCAGAGAAGCTGTTTGTCTTAGAAATGAATGTAACCCATAGATTACAAGTACTTAAAGTAATAAAGAGTTTGCGTGAATTATAAAAAAATTAATTTGTGAATTTAGCTGCAGGCAAATATGCTGATTTCTTGTTTCACAGTTGTAACCCACCTGCTGTTCCCTACCTTGGAATGTACCTGACGGACCTGGCATTCATTGAAGAAGGAACACCAAACTTCACTGAGGAAGGCCTTGTCAATTTTTCCAAAATGAGAATGGTAATTTTCAGTTCCTTATACGCTTAAAACACCTTAAACAGGTATTTAATTATGTGAGTTAATTATTGATTTAATTACAACTCCTCTGAATTTAACTTCTAAGGTTTAACTTCTAAGACATACAAGTATATTGGCACCATGCAAGGTAGGTAGCTATTTGAAAGCAATTACTTGACCCAGTCTTCTATCACCACCTTCTGGTAAACTGAGTATTTTTACAGGGTGAATTTGCCTCCAATTTGTTCTTTGAAAAGTGACAGACAGAAAAAGCAGCTGTCTGAAGCTCATGAAGGAGCAACAAAAGGCTTTTTGAAATAACCGGAATTAAAGGAATGTAGTGATTCATCAGAAAGCAGTAATCACAATCTTCTTTTCAAGTGTGCTAGGATCTATCTAAAAAAGCATTTTAAAGTTGATTTCTCTCCAACTACCATGTAATGTTGTTTCGTAACAACTCCTCAGAGGGAAGCATGAAAATTCCTCTTCTAATCTCAGCTTAATGCCCTTTTTATGGCTACACATGGCAGCAGTCACTCGAGGCAAAGAGAAGAGAGGTTATCAGTAAGGGGAGAGGAGACAAGGTGGTTCACTTGAGGCTGACTGAACAATAAATTGTTAATTTAGGGAAGTGAAATCCTTGGAAGCCGTTAGGAGATGATCTCTGCCCTTCCCTCCTCCCAGGATAAATTGCATAATTTGGTGCAAAATTCTTGCCTTATGTGGCTTAGCTGAAGTCAAAATGCAGTTGTACTTACTGATATACATGTATTCTTTTGAAAGATCTCACATATTATCAGGGAAATACGCCAGTTCCAGCAGACCTCCTACCGTATAGAGCACCAGCAGAAGGTAAGGCTCTTCTTAGGCATTGTTACCTACTAATGAAATCAAAGCTGTAGTAGCAATTAGTTGTAAGATACAGCTCTTGTTGAAAGCTAAAATCAACGTGTTCTGCTCCCACACACAGAGAGGAGCGGACAGACAGAAATGTGGATAGGTGCTCTGGGGTTGTAATACCCTCACCCTGGCAGAAACTCTTTATTTGACAACGTACAGAAGCAAGTTTTTTTCTCCTTCTCTGGAAGGTGTCTTGGGATTGCAGCCTTCTTGGGTCTGGGGTATGAGGGAACGGGTTGAAAGGGAAATGTGTTCACCCTGCCCAGTTGGAAGTGTAATTCCCCAGGGAATCCAAGAATTAGGGGACAGGAGATGGCCCAAGCATCTGCTGATGCTGTGTGCATCCTGCAGTTCTTTTCCCCTTGTCACTCATGGGAGCGATGAAAATTTGCCTAAAGCCAGTCTGTGCCTTTGGAGAAGATTTCCTCTCAGACTTCACAAGAGCAACATGGGCTTAGGTAACCTGGCTAAGGACTTGCCCATTCCTGAGAGGCCATACTTGGTTCCTTGAGTGCTGCTGGTGCAGATTTACACCATTCAAACGAGCTGTTGTGTTTCTCAAGAAAACAACGTGAGGGGATCTCAGGATCCAAAATGGGCTGAAGGAGAAAAGGAAAGCAGAGAAGTTTTTGTGGAAGTAACATACAGTCTGTTCATCTGTGTGTTCTCCATTCCAGGTCACTCACTATTTACTTGACAAGACACTCATCATAGATGAAGATACCTTGTATGAGCTTTCCCTAAAGATTGAACCCAGACTCCCCGCCTGAAGAGCCAGCTTTGCCTCAGAGTCTACAGAAAGCTTTAGTACAATGAACAAAATCATGCATGCCAAGTCCTAAAGACAACAAGGGAAATATTGAGAAGAATGCAAGCTCTCTTTTCCAGTAAGAGATACAGAGCTTCACAGCATTTCCCGCTCAGGCAATGAAAATGAGCATTGGAGGTGGAAGACAGAGATGCTTCCTACCTGGATTAAGAGATTTCTGCTTTGCAAAGATAATGTTTTGCAGTAGGGACTATGCATTTAATGGAAAATAGGAGACTTGCCTGTGAACGGGTACTCATTGTAGCCATCTTATGTGACAAATTAAGGGGACAGATGTAAATGGTGGTAATATACTTAGGTGTATTAAGATAAATGAGCAAAATGAGATGGCTGTGATGTGGTCTTGGTTGATTGCTAACTATGCATTCACTGAGGCAGTAATGGTGTCCTCATATTGTGTTAACTTCATTGAAAAAACAGGATCTTAAGAGTCATCTACTATCTTGGAGTGACATTAAGGTAGCATCTAGTATCTTCAGATCTGCAGTTGTTCAAAATATACATATAATGCTACCCTTTATAAAATGTTACCTTCTTTAAATGTCTTGTCAGCCTTTTCTAAGGTGACTGATTTTACCTATAAATGAATTGTAAATATTTTTTCATTAATAGACAATGAGAGTATTTACAGCATGGAAAGCAAATGAACTAGTTGAACAGCTGTAAATAGTTGCCAGCCTTGCAAGCTTCAGCTGGGAAATACAAGGTTAGGAGCTATATCTGAGACTCGAGAAATCCAGACATACGGGGAATGGGATGGTTAGTCATGTTGCACACAGCCCTGGAAAAGGCACTTTATTTTTCTGCACCTCCTGCAGCTTCTCTGAGAAGTCAGGCTACAGAGCACTTTCTGGACACACTGTGGAGAGACAGACACGTCTGGTCTGGCAATGGGCAGTGATCAGCAATGAACACTAGGAGTTGGAGTGACAGTTTCATTTTACGTGGAATCAGTGGTTTGAAAAATGTCTATTTTTTTGTTCAGCCATTTGGCACTGACTTTGCTCTAAAAGTGTCCACATCAGTGGCAAATTTTGAATGCCAGCAAACACAAACTATATATTTTTATCTAAGCTAGTAATTATCATTTGCATATGGGCATATGTTTAAGAAAATGTGCTATTTGTAAATGTTTCAAAGCCTATGCTTTTGTGACATACCAGGTGGATAGATGTCATTTCTACAGCTAGTTGGTACTTCCTAAATTTTCCTGATCAAGAGTGGCCTGTTGTAGCTGCATGGAAAGTGAGCTCAAATGCATGCTGTAAAGGGCATCATAGTATAAAATACAGGTATTAGCACTGTTGAAAATAATTGGCTGGAAAAGTGTCCTTACTTTTCCAATGATACTCAGCCAGTTGAAGAAATAGGGCTATATCACTGTATACCTCCCTTAAATCCTCTCAGGGAGATAGATGTTTAAAATAGATTGTGACCTAGGCCTATTTGAGCTGACATTTCTTACCACAGTCATGATGCTTCTTAACGCTGGCAATGAAAAACGGATCTGCCTGGCTTGTGGTTTTTGTCTTTATTTGCACTTTAATTATATTGCTGGCCCAGCCCAGAGCTGCACAATAAATTCCATTGTTCTGTCTGAGTGTAACTGCTAGCATTTATAAATGTACCTTAGCAACTGTAAATTTCATTAAGGTTCTTCGCCACAAGGACCATCTCTTTGTAAATAACTACATGAGGAAACGTCACAAATACTGGAAAATTCCTCGATTGGAAAAGCAGACAGCAACAGAAAAGGAAATTCCAGAAACATTTTAAATAGTTCTGGCTAATGATTGCTGTAGAAATGAACATGGAAAATGTTACGTATAGAAGCTTTTAATTGTCAAAAATATGCTTGTTCTTTTCACTAATGACTGACGAGAAGCTGATTGCATCCCAATGCATGATATGAAAAAGAAAAAAAGCATGGTTTATTTGGACCACAAAACCAACTTACTGTGTATTTTCTGTACAAAAGCAGTCCATATGGTAGTTTCATAAAACACTTTGAACTAATGAAGAAACAGGGAAAAAGTGGTCCAAAAAGTGATTTCTTAACTTGGTTTTATTGTTCCTCTGTTAACAAAGAAAACGTGTAACAATTGTCAATGTCAGTTGGCATCTCTGTTGTACACTATTAACTGCTGCTTTATCTGCCTGTACCCCATTTTACCAAACTTCCTTGATGTTCTTAGGGTTACAGGGTACAATTCTTCATCCTACTCTTTTCACAGTTCGGTGTTTTGTACTTTATATGTGTATATCGGTTCTTCAGAGTTTCAAAACATTCAATGCATTTTAACGCTTGCAATACACAGGGGTGGTGCTGTGCTCCTGCTACAGTATTACAAATGGACAAAGAGGAGGACAAAAGATTAGGCATGGATTTTTTCAAAGGTGCTGAGCATCCATATCTTAAAATCAGTAGACAATGTGGTAGTCCAGCCCCTCTGGAAAAGCATACACTATTTATATGCCAAAAGTTACCTCTTGGGTCAGTGGCACAATTTAGATTAGAATCACTATAGTAACTAGATACTTGATTTGTGTTCAGAGCAACAAAAAAACCCGAAAACAAAAAAAAGTTATGGTCACAGCGATGTTTGATTTGCTGATGACTAATATCGATCTTTTTGGTTGGGGATACAATGCATTCATTAAAATACAGGAGGTGAGTGCTCAAAGAAGTGAGCATGCATCCTGTTACCCACAACCCTAGCCAGCGTTGCAACCCCAACCAGAGCTGGAAACGGTTGTTCTGCAGAAATCCTACACAGCGAGCGTAGAGCAGTCTGTCTGCCCCGCAGTCGGGTTGTGTACTTCACGTGTAAGTGGCCTGAGTGCCTCTGCTACAGCACTGCTGCAGTGTGTGAGCTATGGCAATAGTCAGGAGGCAGCAGCAACCTGCTTTATGTGAGGCTTTGGCTAGTACATCTACGTAACGGGCTAGTGCAGTGATCTCCCTGTACAGCGCACAGGGACTGTGGAGCTCCTTGCTACCGGCTTCTCTGTGCCACTCCACCACAGCCATATAATACAGAGAGAGAGAAATCCAGTCATAAAATGCCCACTATTGGCCTCTGGTGTTTTAGGGAGGATGACTCCAAGTGAGGACTTTGTCATTTGGATCTTGCTGTCTTTTAGGATCTTGTCCATTATAGCTTTTATGCCGTGGAAAACAGAGCAGGCTTGCTTTTCTGCAATTGGAGCTGAAAAAGCCCATCTGATTCAGGATTCGTAAGAAGGAGAAGGGCTGAGGCGCCTATTACTTGCCTTCCTTAGCTCCTCGGCCCTGCTGCGCCGGTCAGATGCGACAGCAGTTCTCACGTTGGAGGGGCTGCTCCCGTCGGCACTCTCCAGACAAAAACGCCTCAGGGGGTTCGGGCTGGGGCACTGGGG